TGTTCACAATTCGTTGCGCTTTTCCTCTTTCCTTCCACCAGGGAAATAATCGACAGGAAGAATGCCACTGCAGTCGCTGGTAAAATATCCGCGCTTCAAGGAAATTGTCGAGCCGCCTGTCTTTTGTCCGGGATTGAGTTGGCTGTCGCTGGCTCTCTGCGACGCTCAGTGATCGGAGCGAGACACAATGTGCACGAGAGCGCTCCCCCTCCCCGGCGCTTCTCCGGTCCTGGGCGCTGTCTCATCGCGATCTGCGCTGGGCCACGCCGAGACGTCTGGTCGCGCCGCTTTGTCCCCGTTGCGTCGCTTTTGTCTCCGGTGAATCTCAGTAACCGAGAGGGCCGTTTTTGGTTAGTTGTGACGTAGCGCTTCAAGGATCCAACCAGCAAGAGTAGCATTATGTATTGTCAGACAGAGCAGCCGTTGAAGCGGTCCGATCTGGCTTCAGACGGTCAGTAAAATGCATTTTCGGAGATATTTATGCGCAAGTGACATGTGATGATTGAAACGCTTTTGTGCAGCGTCATTTCATTTGTCTCCGTAGCTGCATTTGATAATGGTAGATATGCGCTATCAAAAATGTCATAAGTTGAAAATAAAGACATTCATGTATTTCCATAATGTAATAAAGAACAATTAGTTACACTACGGTATTTCCAAGCATCCATCGGGAGGAATGAAGCAGATACCTGGCGGAGCGGCACCGGCATTTACCAACTTTTAAGAACCAAGCGAACAAGATGATTGCTTAAAGAGAACTCATAATGAAAATTACCTTGCACCGGACGGTGCAGCGAAAGCCTGATATGTTCCATCAACATTCTGAATAATAAGCAGGACAAAAACCTGATCCTAAACATTTACAGGGTTGTGAGATAGCGTGCCACCATGGCGCTTCACTGAGCCAACTCATACCCTCTGACTATGAGGTCTCCATATGGACAGTGGACTCTGTCAAAGTCGGGCCTTCCATCACACGGCCTCGAAAATTCCAACAACTGCTCTGGAGTTCCCTGGTGCCAACCTCTTCAGGCGATGCTGGCCAACCAATGTTGGGCACCTTTCCAGTTTTGGTATATATATGTGAGACAGTATGTACTTTAGGACAGAACACTACAGGACTCCACTTCTAGCTTGGAGTCGAAGTGACACCAGCCGAGGTTCGAATCGTCGCTAACGCGCCCGCGGGGTGACCCGGCGCCGCATTGATTTCCGTTCGACCCTGCACTGCGATGGATTGTACCCGGAGGGCAAGTCCACGGCTAGGAATAGTTCGCCGGACTGGACACAGTTCCGTTCCCTGCCCGGTGCCAAACGACACGTGCTGGACTCCATTAACCACTTGGTGGACTGGGTAACGTCGAGGAAAAGGTCATTACGACCCGGTCACCTGCCGTCACGAGCACTACCCAGTCAAGTGTTCTGTGGAGCAAAAAAGCCTGACAGTGATTTTCTGGTTAGTGGCATTGATTGAGACATAAATGCTCACCGTTCTGTGTATTGATCTGTGACTGTATGTGACACTTCCAAGGGAGTGATCGATGTTCAACCACAGCAGCGAAACATAAAACATTTCTGGTGTAGTTGTTGGAAGTTTGCTGCTGGAAATCAGATGCTTGACCTTTCTCAATGGAACACTTCTGCAGGCTGCTCAAGACGCTTGTTGAACGACGGAATGGATAGGCTTCCAATGTTTGATTGAAGCCAAATCAGTCGGATAAGTACTGCTAGTCAGGTGAGCTAAGGGTCGTGCCTTGTTTTGAGTTAGGAATGTGGTCATCGGGGCCTGTACATACATACAATCATACGTACGAAAGTAGGTATACGACTTAAAAGGCTCACCAATCGCATAGATTCTAAGTCGTCATAGATTTGGTCACATTAGGCTCAAAAGGAACTTTCAGCTAAATAAATTGTCGCGAAAAGAACCAATGCATTTGCAATACATTCTCCGTTTTCGCTATCCTGCTAGGACCCATCCAAACCACTGCTGAAGACACGCGGAAGCGATTTTCTTGAAGGTAATAGCCAACACCGCGCTGGTACGTCGCAAAATAGCGTCGCTCCGGCGCGCCGTCTCGGGTTCCAGTCTCTGCCGTGGGAACTGTGGTAGCTGGCGCCGACGGCCGCGGCCGCGGTGGTCGGAAGGCGTCCACCGCCCCTCCATCGGCCGACGGAGCTTGTTTGTCGCGTCCGGGTACCGCCGTTAGCCAGTCATAAATGTTAATGCCTGCTGGTTTTCGGCGGCGTCATGGAAGCCATTGCCGCGAGCGGCATGCGGCCTGGCTCAAGTGGACAATCCATTGGACCTGGCCGGTGCTCGACCATGGACCATTTCACTCACGACGGGTGTAGCGAGCGCCCACATGTGGCGGCAGGGGAACAGCCGTTGACCAAATGATATGCCACGTTTGCGGCACTGTGGAGAGCCTAACGGGCTGCGGCCAAAACCCACTCGTCGTCGGTAGTCATGGCAACCGTTGTGACGCCAGCTCCCAAATCCACCGGCTGGGAATCAGGCCCCGGGCGGTGACAACGAGCGCATCCGCGCGGCGCCGGTTTTGCATAAGTTGTCGGCGGCCAAAGCTCCTCGGACATAATTCGCGCCGGGAGATCAAAAGAGCAGGCCGGCCGAGGCGCGGCCGGGCGGGATCGAGTCGCGGACCGGTGACATTCCTGGCTGAGAGCCGGCGGAGCCGCTGGCATTCCGTCCCGGAGGACGGCCCCGGCTGGCCGACGCCCTGGAATGTGATAGCCGCGCCGCTCTCTCGAAAGAGCAGCGCGCTACCGTTTTAAAATGGTAGCGGCGCTGGGCGGTCTCCCGGCTGGCGTCAGTCGGCGCAGGTCTCTGTCGCCTGCGCGCCGTTTTTCGTTGGTAGCGGATCTGTGAAACCTGAGCCGTAATTGATTCGTTCAGGTTGGTTTTATTGTTGTGCAGGTGGCGGAACAGCATAATGGCGATGTTTTTCCTATTATGATAGAACGGTCTCGTCCTCTCGTCCTGTCATCTTCAATCGTTGTGTCAAATACTTCGTTTGAAAATTGTTTCTGCGTTCACAATAGCTAACAAGATCATTTTTTGAAGGAATTTGGAAGCTTTTTGTCTTGTTATGCTGCCACGTCAATTGTTATTGAATTCAGATTGATCGTCGGCTCCGATAGCACGCATCTGATGTACAAAACATAAGCCGCGAAATGCATCACTTCCCATTAGCCACAACTGCTTAGCCGATCTATTCAGTCGGCTCAATCCCTCGTTAGAAGTCATGCACCATGACCAAGCAGCCTCATCTGTTCTCTCCCAGGCCCACCACGAATCCCAGACGGCACAGGACACTGACCCCCTCTCTCCCCTCGATGTATGTTCTAGCGCTGGGTCCCCGCACGCACCCCGCGGCTCTCCCCATCCTTCCCAGCTCTGTGGTCCCCCTAGCAAGCGCCCAGGGCTCTCATATTCCCGGCGGATCCCCGCGACGGCACCCTCCAACACGTGCGCCACAATTCACCATCATCCCCTCTCTCGGGCGCCCTGCAAACGAATCCCCTCTCAACCGAATGCCAGCGGGTCGAGCAGCCATACCAAGCCTCCATTGCAGCCTCGCAAGACTCTGCAGCATAGTACAGCCTCGTAAGCCTCCCTCGTAACCTCATAGCTGACCTCTCAGCTCTACAGCCTTTCTCGCTAAACTACAGCCTCCGGATTTGTCCCGTGTGCTGCCACGGGTCGGTCTTGTCTCGAGCGCGTAGAAGGTGCGATCATGCTCGCGGGCGCCTGGGCGACTCGCCAGTGCCCCGGACGCCCGTACGACCGAGCTCATGCCCTTTGCGTCGCCGACCATCGGTGACACATGTCGGCCGTTAGTGGCGGACCGGTGCCGCGCGTGGACCGTTAGCGCTGTCCCACGCTAACGGCCGCCGTACTGTCGTAATGGCTGCAATAATGGCGCCGCCGCACTGGCCGCCGCACCGGCTCCCCGTCTGATTACTGCTGAGCGCCCCTGGCCGGCCGCCGCCGCCACGCGACGAGAAGAGAGTTGGGGCAGGCAGTCCACTTTGCGGTGAGGATCGGCCTCCAGGCAGCAGCAAATATGTTTGCTACATGTAGGAGACACTTGACAGACGGCGGTTTTAATGTTTTGATAGACAGCGAATGGATAGAAGGAGTAGCATTCATAGCGTAACCTGCGGCTAGAAGTTGGGCTATAGAGCCACAATTATGCTCATTTGGGTAGATTTGTGATGTGTATGATTGCAGCGTTTATAGGATCTGCATACGTTAGTTGTTGACATAGCGGTGCTAACTGCGAGAAGTCACGATTAAGCCTGGCTGTGTCTCACAAATCAAGAACCGTGCGCTCTAGCAGTTTCCGAGGGGCGAGTTTTGGATGGTCTAAGGAAAGTGCAGGCTCGGTAAGGCATCACTGGTGGCCCCCAGGAAATTAGGGACAAGTCATGCATGAGCTTTTATGGCGTGCCTGTAGATAGAAAATAAACAAAGCAGAAATAAAGAAAAAGAAAAAGGAAATAAATAAATGGGGAACGAAAAAGGAATGAAATAAATGGGAAATAAAATATAGATTGCTTGTATAAAATGCGGCTATAAGTGCTAGCCGCAAGCATGCGCGCTGGTAAGCGTAAGCAAACTAGGGTTATACGGCTTATTGACAGGCGAAATAGCGGATGAGAGCGCACGCTGCAGGTGTACCGGATGTTTGTTTAGTGCAGGTAGGCTGACTCTTGAAAATAAATGCCAAAGTCATCAAACTTTAACGAACTATAAACTTTTAATTTTGCATGTTCTTGCATGTTTGTTATTTGATTATATTAGCGCATGGAAAGAGTATATCACAGACGATATCGCTTCCTACAGTTGTGGTTGCTGTAAGTGGTTAAATTCTGTCTTTGGGGATAAACACATCTTATTCATACACGATTTGACTCGTCACGAATTGTAGTCCTCTGTAAATGCATTCAATGAAGTGATGACCACAGCCACCTACCTGTATCTCCCTGGGTGCTGGCGGCACACAGCAGCAGAAGCACGCCTCCGAACGCAGTCCGCAACATCACCAAACTGTAGCAGAGCTCCGCGCCCTTGGCCGCATCAAAACGCACTGGCGGTGTGGTCATATGTGTCTGATATATCCAGATCGCTCTCGATGGTCGCACAGGGTCGTCTCTGAAAATGAGACCACGAAATGTTTGATAAAACGCCGATGACGAAGCGGCAACGTTCCTCGATCGCCTTGATCGACACTCTAAAACCGATTCGGAAACAGATGACCCAGCGTACCGTCACAGTATCCCGCACGGCACGGTTCGCTCGGCAAACCTCCGTGAGCTTCGCCCGAGAGACGTCCGTCGTGCTGCGCGGTCGGTGTCACTCGCTCACAGACGGAGAGCGTCGTTCTCAGAGTCCGCCGTCCGCCGCCGTCCCACTCAGTCCGATCCACTCCAGCACGCCTGTCTCTGGCCTCCGTACACCGCACGCACTGCCCCCTCCACCCAGCGTCGGTTCGCCACTGCCGGCCGGACCGCGTCGCTGCCGACACCGCCGCCGACGACACCGACGCTGCCGACGCCGCGCGCGCGCCGGCCGCCGAGGGGCGTCGAGCGCTCCCATCGATCGATTCGGCCCCTCCAGCGCGCCCCATCCTCCCCTCCCTCCCTCCCTCCGGAGGCAAGGCAAGGGGTGCGCGCCGACCAGGTAAACGAATCGCAGTCAATTATCCGGCAGACTTCTGGGCGAGTCGGTAAATAAGATTAGCCGGGCTATTACGGCGTTATGCGATTGAGCGATTTCCCACGGGATGGTGTCTGTGGCGAGCCGGTGAGAGAGCGCCGCCGGTCACGCCAGAGGGCGGTATTTTGCCGTCGGCCGCTGGTGGCGACACAAATGGCGCGCCCAATGACGCTGAGGCGATTAATGGCGCAAACAGACGCTTCCGGCCAGTGGCGGCTGATAACGGCGGCCACCCGACCGGGCGGCGAAATGTGAGGTGCCAAATTAGACGCCACCGTTCAAATAAGTGGCCCTCGTTGGCAGCTGACGAAATGCTGAATAGCGAGGGGTGGCGGGAACAAATGTGCCGTTTAGGGTCGTTTTGAAATCACCGTTGGACTGTGATGTCTTAAAAAGCATAATTAGGAACATCGAAAAGCTGTCACCGTTCGTTGTGAAAGCAGTTCATAATAAAAGCTACGTTCAAGCATGCGATGAACATGATTAATTTCATTGAATTACAAAAAGAGTAAAAAAAATATGACACACAAATGTTGGGTTGCCCACAAAGATCTGGAAGTTACACGTTTTACACCTGATAAGCTGACCAAACATTTTCATTCACTCGTTTAGCAACACATGGTCAATTAAACAATGTTTACCTATGCATGACGATGATGAAGAAACATTGGCAAAGTGAATCAATTATTTGCTGAATTATACGTCGTGTCATGAAAACAATTAAGACTGGCACAAACCTTACACACACACAAATTTAAGGAAAACAAACGTGAATCAAAACGTTCAAGCAATTTTAGCTCTTTTAGTATAAGCGTAGCTTGTCTTTTTTCTACAGAGAGCTGGTAAACGCACATACTTACATCAGCTCAATGGTCAGTACCTATGGGTTACCTAAAGTTAATAGAATATCATTAGATATCTCCACACACCATATTGAATTAACCTTTTTAATTTATCCTTTGTGTGGATAATTGGCGCTCTGTGCGAGTGGCCATTATCAGGCCGATTCTGTAGTCATAGAGAACGCGGTAACATCTGCGGGGCTGCTCTGACCGTTAAGCGCGTGCCGTTACCGCCATGACCGGCCATTGTAGACGGCTCAAAATCAGCGCCGTGGACTGGAACGGTGCGTCGAGCCGTCGACCGTCAGTGGCACGGACCCAGAGATCAACGGCAGGAACCCAGAGATATACGGAGCCTAGAGATCGGTGACACGGACCCAGAGATGCGGCGGCACAAACCCAGAGATTGATAGCATGAATCCAGAGATATACGACACGGACACAGAGATCAACGGCTGGAACCCAGAGATAACCCGCGACCTGGTGGGGGGGGCTATTTTTTGCCCCCCTCCAGACTTTTCGATATATCTCCAGAACCGCTGCGCCGATCGTCACCAAACTTTCAGTACCCTCCCGGACATCAATTTTACACATGGTGACCAAAAAGTTTTCCAAAGGCTATGATAGGTTGGCCGGAAATGACGTCAGAGTGACGTCATGTTCTGCCGTTTTCGACCCAAAAAAGGGTTTCGCGGGAAGAGCTGTCAGGCCTATAGCTTTGCAAATACAGAAAAATGATAAGGACATAAAAGCTGTAGAATTGACAGGGCTACAAAACTGCTATCTCGGATTTTTGAAATTTTAGGATTTTGACCCCCAAAAATCAAAAAATAATTTTTTTGGATATAATGATCGAAAAATCCAAAAAGTTTTTTGAATTTCGCAAAAACCGGAATATATGTGATAGTCCTTACCGCCTTCCATCCACATACCAAATTTGAGATTGATACCTCTTTTTTTGGCGAAGTTATAGTGAAAAAACTGTTCAAAATTGATGACGTCAAATTTTCAAACTCAATTTTTAGCAATTCTAGACCCCGTAGCGCAAGAAAAAGACCACCATTAGACTCCCCGTGACGAGCTGCATCGAATCAATACCCATTTTATGCAAAACTATCAACTTTAAAATTTGACCTTTTTTGACCTGACCTTGACCTGACCTTGACCTCAACTTCACCAGAAAGTGACCTAAGCCGTACCTGATAGTCTTATAACCAACACCATTGAGTTGGAAATGAAAAATTGGCCATAAAACATGCATCACACAACCTTAGTAAAGTTGGGCTCATGTGACCTGACCTGTGACCCTTGGTGACCTGACCTGTGACGTGACCTGGTATTGTCAGTGACCTCTAATAGCAACATATCTACTAGGCAACTGACGCCCTATCGCTGATTCTCGACAAAATGCGTTTTCCTCGGTGTTATAGCGCATTCCCTAGAAGACCCGTGAACGGTGAAACATTTCATCTTTGACCTGACCTGTGACGTCATCGGTGACCCCGAGGTCAATGAAATTTGGTTTCCTTCGACAAATTTGACAGGCCTTTCGAATGCCGTTTGAATTTTGCGGATCCGTCCAGTAGTTTCGGAGATACGAGGGGGGGCAAAAAATAGCCCCCCCCCCCCACCAGGTCGCGTTATAAACAGACCCCACCGGCGCGGGATAAACGGCACGGACCCAGCGATTGGCGGCACGGACCCAGAGATCGAAGAAAGGGACTTAACCCGCGACCTGGTGGAGGGGGGCTATTTTTTGCCCCCCTCTAGACTTTCCGATATATCTCCAGAACCGCTGCGCCGATCGTCACCAAACTTTCAGTACCCTCCCGGACATCAATTTTACACATTGTGACCAAAATTTTTTCCAAAGGCTATGATAGGTTGGCCGGAAATGACGTCAGAGTGACGTCATGTTCTGCCGTTTTCTACCCAAAAAAGGGTTTCGCGGGAAGAGCTGTCAGGCCTATAACTTTGCAAATACAGAAAAATGATTAGGACATAAAAGCTGTAGAATTGACAGGGCTACAAAACTTTTATCTCGGATTTTTTAAATTTTTGGATTTTGACCCCCAAAAATCAAAAAATATTTTTTTGGATATAATCATCGAAAAATCCAAAAAGTTTTTTGAATTTCGCAAAAACCGGAATATATGTGATAGTCCTTACCGCCTTCCATCCACATACCAAATTTTAGATTGATACCTCTTTTTTTGGCAAAGTTACAGCGAAAAAACTGTTCAAAATTGATGACGTCAAATTTTCAAACTCAATTTTTAGCAATTCTAGACCCCGTAACGCAAAACAAAGACCACCATTAGACTCCCCGTGACGAGCTGCATCGAATCAATACCCATTTTATGCAAAACTATCAACTTTAAAATTTGACCTTTTTTGGCCTGACCTTGACCTGAACTTGACCTGAACTTCACCAGAAAGTGACCTAAGCCATACCTGATAGTCTTATAACCAACACCATTGAGTTGGAAATGAAAAATTGGCCATAAAACATGCATCACACAACCTTAGTAAAGTTGGGCTCATGTGACCTGACATGTGACCCTTGGTGACCTGACCTGTGACCTGACCTGGTATTGTCAGTGACCTCTAATAGCAACATATCTACTAGGCAACTGACGCCCTATCGCTGATTCTCGACAAAATGCGTTTTCTTCGGTGTTTAGCGCATTCCCTAGATGACCCGTGAACGGTGAAACATGTCATCTTTGACCTGACCTGTGACGTCACCGGTGACCCGGAGGTCAATGAAATTTGGTTTCCTTCGACAAATTTGACAGGCCTTTCGAACGCCGTTTGAATTTTGCGGATCCGTCCAGTAGTTTCGGAGATACGAGGGGGGCAAAAATAGCCCCCCCCCCCACCAGGTCGCGTTATAAACAGACCCCACCAGGGCGCGGGTTAAAGCCCTTGTTACACTGCCGAATTTTGGTACACGAATGTGCACGAATATGCAAGTCATCCTATGTCGCGGACCGATTCGGGATCTTTCTTCCACGGTCTTGGCATTTCGCAGACCAGTCGTTGTCCACCGCGCGACTTTTACGGTTCGTCACGACCGCCACGAATATTTCATGAAAAATGAAAATTTCGTGGCCGTTCGCCGAACTTATAATAAACGAACATGGTCGCCAAACAGTCGCCGAGTCGCCGCCGAGATGTCGCTGCGTGCGCCGACTTGTTGCCAAGGTATCGCCGACTATTCGCAACAGATTCGCCATTCATTCGCGATGTTCGCCGAATCATGGATCAGCTTCGACCCGCGCACGATTAGGCCGTGTTACACTGCCGAATTTTGGCCACGACCCTGTCGCCGAATCACGTCGTGTAGGAAATCGGCGAAGAATTCACCGACAGAGGCGAACAGTTCGCCGACAGAGCCCGATTTGCAGACAACGGGTGGGGGGCCCCCCTAATCGTGCGCGGGTCGAAGCTGCCTCCATGATTCGGCGAACATCGCGAATGAATGGCGAATCTGTTGCGAATAGTCGCCGATACCTTGGCAACAAGTCGGCGCTCGTAGCGACATGTCGGCGGTGACTCGGCGAGTGTTTGGCGATCATGTTCGTTTATTATAAGTTCGGCGAACGGCCACGAAATTTTCATTTTTCATGAAATATTCGTGGCGGTCGTGACGAACCGTAAAAGTCGCGCGGTGGGCACCGACTTGTCTGCGAAATGCCAAGACCGTGGAAGAAAGATCCCGAATCGGTCCGCGACATAGGATGACTTGCATATTCGTGCACATTCGTGTACCAAAATTCGGCAGTGTAACAAGGGCTTGGGGGGCCCCCCACCCGTTTTCTGCAAATCGGGCTCTGTCGGCGAACTGTTCGCCTCTGTCGGTGAACTGTTCGCCGATTTCCTACACGACGTGATTCGGCGACAGGATCGTG